GGGAAAAATTCATTTCTTCTACTTTATCTTTACCCTATTTCAAAAATAACAAAACAACTTTTACATTTCAAAAATCAGATATTTTAACCTATACATACACATATATATACATATTTATTTATATATATAAATATATAAAAAGATATAAATAAATAAATAAATAAATAAATATATATATACACACAATTAACCCACCCCCACCTCCCCTACCGCTCCGGCGACCGGTCCGGTAACTTTTCCGGTGACTGTTCCGGCGATCGCTCCGGTACCGATTCTGGCGACTGTTCCGGCGATGGCTCCGGCGACTACTCCGATTCCGGTGACAACGCAGGTCACAGTTCAATTCACAAGTCACAACTCAGGTCACAAGTCACAGCCCAAGTCACACTCAGGTCACAGTTCAATTCACAAGTCACATCCCAGGTCACAGCTCAGGTCACAAGTCACAGTCCAGGTCACAACTCAGGTCACAGGTCACAGTCGACGGCAAACATCTGACAAAGCAGATCGGATGAAGAAACCAACCCAAAAGCCCAAGCCCAACGCTGCAGCACCCCACCACGCACAAATTCACCACCACCACATACCACCACCGCCACGCCCACATTGCAAAGATCTACCAACACCATCTCAACACAGATCAACCGCCATGACTAAATAATTAATAAGAAAAAAAGAAAGAAATTGAAATTACAAAATCCCCAAATTTAGTATTAGAAGCAAGGTGCTGGTTATACAATTCCGTTCGCTGCTTGACTTGTTCAACCATCGTCATTTCTTCTTCTTCACACCGCCGGTAGAGAGAGAAATCACTGACCCAAATGTGTAAATCGCCGGTGATATCCCACTGTGAAATCGCAGACCCAAATGGTGGTGATCGACAGCAGGAGAGAGGAGAGAAGGCGCGGCACCGTCGAAGAAGGCGACTGCTTACGTGGTGGCGAAGGCATGGTGTCGGCTTCTTCGTTGCAGCACCGGGGTTGGGGAGATTATTAGGGTTTGGGGTTGGGTGGGTATGGATTCAGCACCTGTGAAGAGGAAAATGATGAAAAAAGGCATCGTCGTTTCCGCCGGTGAAGAGGATGCCGTCGGTGAAGGTCGGCACCACCACCAGCAAGGCACCACACTAAGAGAGAAAATGAGAGACGGAGTGAGGGAGGAGTGAGAGAGGGACGTGAATTTGGTTGAAAATGAATTTAGGGGTGTATATATATTAATTTTCATTATATTATTATTAATATTTAATTAAATATAAAAAATCTGTAACTATATAAAAAATATCTGATTTTTGAAAATTAAAACATCAAATCTGATTTTTGAACTTGGATCTCCAAAAATAGGGAATTAGGTAATTTTCACAAAGAAATATGCCACATTATGGGCTTCTTTGTTTCCCCTTTCATGAAATTAGGCAAATAAAATAAAATGAATTTAGGCTTATGTCTTCTGTATATATCAAAAATAGAAAAAAGATAGATATATAGATTATTTATTTATATCTCTCTCTCCCATTTCCACTAGAAATTCCTGTTGGGTCGCATTCTAATGAGTCTTTCGTTAATCTCTAAGAAGCTCTTTCTTTTTTTAAAATTCAAAGACAAGATACTGATTTTATATCACCCTTCACTTGAATTAGCAAAAACAATGTATCCTTGCATAATGTAGATTCGAAACATTCACGACTTGATTGTTAATGAGTCAAATTACTTATGCATCAGTCTATTAGTGGTCCAAATTAAGGTTTTTTTTTTTCTTCATTGAGAATGGATTTTTTTGAATTCTATCCTATTAATTGATAATAAAACTATCTAGTTTTAAAGAATTCAAGTTGATTTATTGATAATTGAAAACAAAGGATCTTGAATACTATATATTTGAAATTCAGAAGAACTACATGGGGAGGCTAATGAATAGGAGGAAAAAGCCTCTGGGCTCGCTTATGGAAAGTGGAAATGGAAGTATATGAGTTTCGGGTAAATAGATACTCACAATCATGTACCTGTGTTCTTTCTCAAAGATAAGCCCAT